TACGTACGTACGACGTAGAGTATATATATATATATATATATATATATATATATATATATACATATATATATATATATATATATATTATGTATGTTTATATCTATAGCTCATAATTTTGTATAAACACGAATGCAAATATAATGGAAAATTTTAGTTTACTTTGTGAAATTTCTCAAGCTTAGAATTTTTTTCTCTGCACTGTTGTTATTGTAGAGTGAACACACATTCACGTTGGCGCTCCATCTGGCTATAGCTCATAATCTAATGAGTACTATCTAAAAGTTTCGGTTTCAATGCGAGGGAAGTGTCTAGTCATTGGATTGTTATAGCCTATCCCCGTTCTGTAGTCCACTTCTGCGCCTCATAACTCAAGACACACGCTAAATGGTATGCTTTTGATACGAATACTATCTTCCACTGCGTAGCTGCCGCCTCAGAGCTTCTGGAAAATCGGTGAGTACAAACGCGTGGTGAAACGGCTGGATGAAGGAATTCACAACTGCGATATAGTGCAGGCGGTAAGTATGCCGTTCGTCAACCGGCGTACGGTGCGATGTGTTCGGTTGGTAGTGTGGGTCTTGCGGAGGTTCTGAATGTCTGTTTGTCTCTGTACGATATCACATTACTGCTCACGATGTGTGGTTGTACATTGGCATTGGTACATGTATTGGTGGTAGACAAAGTGTTGTGGGAGTTGGTTTACATATGTACGGTGAATATTCATATTTCCTTTTATTTGGGTACTTGTATGTTCTAACTTCTATTGCACCCGCTTTACACGTCTTTTTGTAACGCACAATTGGTTGTATACTATAGTTATAGAGACATGCTGCATTCATCCAACATCAATAAATCTCAAGGTTCGCAAAGCACATATCGAAATTTTAATGATTCGATTAGAGTTTGCGTATGTAGAGTACAATCAATTGTGTCTATGCAAACAATCGACTTCAAAGGAGAAATACATTTTCCACATACCGCGAGTAATTAATGCGACACATAGAGAGAGGGCATACATCCAACTCAATGCTGGAATATCCGGCGGGCTTCATAGTCTGTACGCACGAATCTTACTGATTTAAGGTGCAGAGCTTTGTGTACCTTTCTCACAAGGCGTGACACACAATGCCTGATTGGGTATATGGCACGCTATTCACAGATGATAAAAGAAAGGGCGGCAGTTGAGCACGAGTACACAAAAGCGCTGGAGAAATGGGCCGAGAAGTGGCACAAGCACTATACAAGGAAACCCGAATATGGAACGCTGATGGAAGGCTACGACGCGCTTCTAAACCAGGCCAAGCAATGTGCAAATATACACGAGACCGTGAGCAAGTATGTCTGCGACAGGCGACAAGCGCAGCCTTGCAGCCTTGCATGATTGGGTGCCAGCTTTATGCCATACGTGAGTGTACAGGAGTGTTCTAGGGTCAATTGCGATGGTACACTTAGAAAGTATATGCTTATTGTCACTTCCCATGTTTTGGGGCTATGCACGGTGTGTGTGCAGTTGATTGGCATAGCTGCGTTCTCGTGTTGACTCAAGATGCGTCTAAAAGTTTTGTGGGAACTGCTGCGACTAGAATGTTGAATAGGATATCTGATATATCCCTCACGAGAGTCGGAGTATATATATGAATGCGTGCATTACTTTGCCTGCAAACTAGAATGTTTTGAACAAAGATTACCTGAAGCGTAGCATCTTGTATTTGATTGCTATCTGATTTCTCGTACACTCTTGCTTAACTTGAATTTGTTTATCCATGCAATAGTAATCTCATAGCGCTGGCAGATTCCGAAATGCCGAACTACAAAAAAGAACAATATACGAGGGGGTTCCTGGGTGGATATAAGCAGACAAAGACAGCGGACGCCGGCTTCAGCAAAGCCCAGGCACAATGGTACAAGCTCGACAGCAAGACAAAGTCGCAGCATAAGTCATACGAGAACGCGTGCAAATCCAGGTATGGCCTGGTTCAGGCGCTTTCTAGGCTTTTGCAGTTTGCACATGGCCAGTTGGATTGTACGTCACGCTTTCGGCAAGCGTTTCTTTTGTAAGCAATAGCCACACCAAGGTACATCACTCATATATGCCTGTTTTACACGTACTCTAACACTGCAACAATACAACGCACGCCCATACATACTGTACTCGCGCCCAAGCACCACAGGCAGGTCGCCTTGATGACGAACGTGCCGGTTAGCTATAGCATGATTTCTGTTGCCATGGGTACCACTACCATGACGATACGGATCTATTACCCCCATGTGTAGGCGGTAGTAAGCGTAACATGTGTCCTCATCTCCCAATGATTGTCTGACGATCCAATCCACGCCACTCTATTCCCATCTGTGCACCAGGGTCAAGGCGCAGGAGGCACTGCAAGCAGCTGTGGCCAGCTCAGACCACACCACGGAGCAGGTGCGGAAGCTGGAGGATAAACTGACTGCCGCGCAAGCGGAGGAGGTCAAGAGGAAGGTAAGCCCATGGGCTCAGCCAATGAGTTCGCATTGTTTACGTATTGGAGTGTCGTTTACGTATTGGAGTGTCGTTTACGTATTGGAGTGTCGTTTACGTATTGGAGTGTCGTTTACGTATTGGAGTGTCGTTTACGTATTGGAGTGTCGTGACCACTCGCCCGCCTTAGCAGAGCGACACCACACGAGTGCTGCAGTCTCACCTTTTGGTCCTATCTATCCGAGTTTTGTAGCAGAGATCTGAGTTTCATAGAAAGATTTTATCATGACTTGTACCTTTTGACCGTTGTGCAGCTTGCCAACGGGTATATTTAATCTCTGACACGCAAGAGTATATCGGATGTCTCATCATAGACAATGTTGAGATACGTTCCTCAAGCGCTTTCCTCTATATTTAGCCGCCAATGCGTACGAAGTATACCATTGGGGGTTGTTTTGTGATCTTTGTTTTCTAATAACTCTCACAGGGTAAATACGAAGCCGCCGTAGACGCGCAACTGGCAGATAAGCCTCGGTACATGAACGACATGACCACGGAGTTCAATCTCTGCCAGGTACGGAAGTCTCACTCCTTGATACGATACAGATAACGTGGTGTAGCGAGTGCACACGGCCCTCTGACCGCGTTACTGTATAGTGTATAGCTTTGTGGTTACAGTCTATGCGACGTCTCTCATTTGATGACGCGTAAATTCAGCTCCCTCTCGTCCACTGGTGTATGGGTTTATCACATTTGTCGTCTTAGATCGTCTTTCTCCGACCCAAAAGTTATCAGGAGTCTTGTGCTGGTGTGTGGTACAAATCACACTCGCATCTCATACGCCCATATACTGGTTGCTCACGTATGCATAACAGGAAACCGAGATGCACCGAGTCAGTAAAGTGAAAGAAGTTACCATTCAAGCAGTACATCATTTGGATGTGACACAAGTGCCCACGCACAAAGCTATGTTCTCAGACGCGCTCAATCAACAAGAAATGATCAGCCCTCAGGAAGACATCCAGGCCTATGCTAAATCACACGGCGTGGAGATGGATATGGAATGGCCTCAGGTATTGCCATATATATACATATATACATATAAATACATACATACATACATACATACATACATATATATATATATATATATATATATATATATATATATATATATATATATATATATACTAGACTACTACTACACACAACGGTACTAACCGTAAC